GGGTGGCTCAGATGGTTAAGCGTCTGCCTTCGGCTCAGGTCATGATCCCAGGGTCCTGGGATCGAGTCCCGCATCGGGCTCCCTGCTCCATGGGAGCCTGCTTCTCCCTCTGTTTCTCTCTCTCTCTATCATGAATAAATAAATAAAATCTTTAAAAAAAAAAAAATATTCTTGCCAGAAAAAGTTTAGATATACCTTACATCATCTGATGGCTTTTGGAATGCCAGTTCTAAGATTCTTTTTATTTTCACAAACAATCTGCTTGAGTAAGTAAATCCTTTTCAGAGGATAGAATTTTTATTAAAATAAATAAGCCACATGGCTTTGGAAGCAAGAGAAAATGATTATGCCTAACTTCTCCATGTTACTCCCTCCATAAAACCCTCTGGGGAAGCAGATGAACACTCTCTGCCCAGCCTTTCCCCCATGACCTTCACTTCAGAAGTGACCTTCCACTTACGGAATCGATAAGCGTGTAGGGACTCTCCACATCGCTATCGGAGGAGGTGTACTGGGGCAGCTCCAACCTCACTGTGTAGTTCACACCCTTCTCAAAGCACACGGGGCGTGGAAGGACCACATACCTGCCCCCAAACGAGAGGGAAAAATACCAAAGCAAAGTCAACGTTTAAGTATCCAATCCATCCATCCATCCATCCATCAGAGCTCTACATAGATCATGGCAAAAGAAGAAAGGCAAGAGTCTATGTTTGGCTCCGGCTCTGAAATGGTAACTGGACGACTTGCAAGGCAACGTACCAGAAAAAATATAATAATCTGCCTACTGGTTCTGTGAGTTGCAAACCATGTCACACTGACCTCAAGCCAGGTGAGAAGGACACCACCTGGTTGTCATCATCAGGAATAGTGTTACCACATCGGCTGCTGGTTGGGATCTTTCCAGGTCGCTGCACTGTGATGACAGCTTTTTCCCAGTGGTCGGGGAGCTACGGTAAGAAACAAACCATCAAAGGAGCATCCACACTGGCCCGCTGCTGCCTGTCTGTTTATAAAAACCTCTCCCAATCGGTCATTTGCCAAGTTTAAATGAAAAACACTCACTTGCATTTCCCTTCCCTCTTTCCCATTTCCTTTGCTCTGGTCTCCGCTCCAGCCCTAATCTCATCTCACCTGGACACCGAATAGCCTCCCTGCCCTCCTTGCCTCTCCCAATCCCCTTTCTGACCATCAGGCAACACAGCTCTGATCAGGACAATCCCCTACCCAAAACCCTATAATACAGCGTCCAGACTCATGTGCTGATCCCAGCATTCTTCCCAACAGCATCTCCAATGATGCCCTTATCTAGCTACGAGGAAGCACTCTCAAAACACTATCCCTCTGCTCACGCTGTTCCTCACTTCCTTTGGTGTCAAAATTCCATCTCTGTTGTAAGGCCTAGAACTCATTCTTTATGGGACATTTTGGCAGCAGCTGGTGCATCTGGGCTGGTGTAAGATGCAGGACTGTCTACATCTCTGCCCTTGCCCTTTCCACCTTCGGCCTTTTATTAAAGGTGGGGTGTGTGTCCGAGCCTGGGCCATGCAGGCCATGAGGTCAATCAGAGGGTCTGACACATTCTCATCACCACCTTAGGTCTCAGCAAGGCGGAGAGCCTAATAAGGGATCACTAAAGATTTGCAAAACTGAATTCGAGAAAAATGTCCATTTTTGCTTCCACTGGGAATAGAAAGTCAGAGAGGCTCCTCTATTCTAATACAACCTCCACATTTCACAAAACCTGTATCCATTGTTATAAGATTATTTCTACCACCCCCGGTAGTCCATGGAAGGTTTACCTGTGGTTCGTAGCGAATTAAGATGTCATACTCCATGGAATATGGTATGTTGTCAATGAAAAACTCCAAATAAGCCCCTTCGGGCACTCGGACGAAGCCCGCTCCGGTCCAGGAAGGAATCCGGTCCTGGATATACTGCCGCTCCACTATGCTGACCCCCTGAGAACAAGGGAGACAGTAGCTAGCTTTACTTGAAATGGATTTCAAGGAAATGTAACAGCTAAAGAAATCTGAAGTCACCCAAAGGTCCAAACTACAGGCATTCTACCTATCTTTTGCAGTCACATTTTCTCGGTAGAGGGTACAAGTTTTTGATGTATAAAGAGGAGTTGGTTTCTTTTTGGTTTTGTCATTGGGGTAGTCTTGGGACACTGGAGATGGGACCCAAAGGCTTAGGAGACACCGTCTATGACAGAACCAGGAATGAGCATAAAGGAATAAGCAAGGCGAGGAGTGACGAGCTATTTCCTAGATCTTCTATAAGGCTAGTCCAGTATCTAGTGGATGTGTTTGCCTTTCTCCCTGGCATTCATTTCAAACTCCAAGTACAAGTGAAGAAATGTCATACCATCACGAGTGCTCACTGGTGAGGCGTTGATTCTGATGGTCACGGAGACCAAAGATAGATCAATTTCAGTTAACTCAAGCACGAGTTTGTTCACAGGATCACAGATAACCACCGCAATCAGTGGCTTCCAAAGACCAAGTCCTTCATTCTCTATACATACGGGCATCTGGCTCTACCCTTCAAGAGGTAAAACCTGCATTACCCTGCCCTCAGATCTGGTCTGGCCTTGTGACTTCTGACCAACAAAACATGAGAAAATGACCTTCTGAAACTTCTGAGCCCAGGCTTTAATGGGCCTGGCAGTTTCTCTCACCTCCTTCTTGGAAGCCAGATGCCGTGTAGAAGTCTCACTGTCCTGACTCCACTGCGCTGTGAGGAAACTCAAGGCGGTTGCTTGGGGGTGGTGGGGGTGGGGGGGTGTAGGGATGGGGGCACGTGGAGGAAAAATGCCCAGCCCACCCCCACCTGTTTCAGCCACCCCAGCTGATGTGCTAGAGGTACTTTTGAAGTCACTACATTTTGGGATAACTGCTTACACAGCAATAGAAAACTGAAACAAGGTCCTGTCTGAGTATTTACTATATGAGATCAACGATAACTCTGGAGCATAAGTAGAGGAATGGAAGAACGAAAAACAAATTACCACCCCCACCACCAAAAAAAAAACCCTGCTAAAAGCCTCATTAGTGAAACTTCCGAAGTCTTTTTGTGAGTTATAGATTTACTTAGCTTTAAATAGGACTGCTCTCAAGAAGCCTCAGTCCTGATCCTGTCACTGACAAGAGCGGTAAAAATGCACCACCGAAATGCACTTTTGTAAAGGTGCATATCCCACGACTGCCCCCCCGAGACCCGGCTTTTCCCGTCTACCCAGCACCCCCCTACTTACAGGCCCAAAGTTGGCTTCTTCTGCTTCATAGATGTAGTGATCCAAGGTGGTAAAGTAGTACCCGGATTCCACCTCGTTGCACTGACGCCCAATCACGTGGGGTCGGCACACGCACTGGCCTGACTCCGCCGAGCAGCTGCGGGGGGGGGGGGGCGCGCACAAGCCGAGTCAGCTGGGACACCGCACTTGTAAATGAACCCACTTGACACAATTCTACATTTTCTACTAAGCATCAAATGGCTGCTATATTCAGGTAGGGTTTCTTATTTCTTTCAGGAAATAAGTATGTGGGGAAAAAATCCTGCCTATGACTTAATCGCAAACTCTGGGGCTGAAAGCTCCCCATGACCTGGTCTTTTTGGTTTCGTCTTCCTTGTCTTTCTTCACTATGCTCCATCCACACCATACTGAGGTTTTCTGTGGATACTACCAACATTCTTGCTTCGATCTTTTACATCTTCCGCCTGATTTCCAACGGCAATCTCTTCCCTGGGCCTCAGACCCAAAGATCCAACTTCTAGAAGGTCGGATCCGACTTAGCGGTCCCCGAGATTAAGGACAGATCCCAAAGGGCAACACTCAATCCCTCCCTTGTTCTCTGCTGGGGACAGGACACTGCCAGCCACTAAGTCGACCAGGTCAGAAACCTACAAGTTGTTCTCTTGAGTCTTTCATATCTACTCAGGAACCCGATTCTGTGACTTCACAGCCTAGCCTCTGGTGCTTCTCCTCCACAGGCTATGTCATGCCTTTCTTCTCTCCCTCACTCACAGTAAAATCGGTTTCAGCCGCCTCATCGGTGTCCTGGTGGCTGGTCTTCCAACTTTCCAACCTAGACCATCACGGCCCACACAGCTAGCTGCCCAAATGACCTTCCTAAGATGCATCCACCGTATCACTTCCTGGCCTTGAGCAGGTGCACGAGGCTGCCACAGTCTTGCCCTTCTCTACCTTTCTAGCTCTACCTCTCCCCTCACTTCTCCAACCACATGGAACGGTTACAGTTTCTCCAATGCGCAGGGTGATTGCAGACCCCTTTCCATGGCTTAGGCCGTTCCTGCAGGCCTGACTACCCTTGCCCCCTATTCACCCAGCAAAGAGCTGCCTGTTCTCTCAAGAGTCGGCTCACAAAGGACTCCTGCTGTGGCATCTCCAGACTACACTCTCCACCCCACAGGATGAGCCGCCTTCTCTTTCCCGCCACCACCTCCTTGCAGGAGAAACGATGTAGTCACAACATGTACAACACAGCCTGTCATGTAGCAGCTGCTCAGGAAAGCTGAGGCGCTAGGTTTTCAAATCCTGCTGGTCTTTCCAAGTCCAGTCCAACGTTCCTCCCTCTCGTGGACTCCCCTTTGGTTCCTGCTATTCTCAAGTGGCGCCTTCTGAGGCCTCCGCTGTTCTTTATCTGTATTGTTCAGACATTTATCGCTTTCTTTCTTGTAGTGTAACTCCTGACAGACCCATCTGACCCCCTGCTAGACAGCAAATTGCTTAAAAGTTTGGACGCCTCCTTCACCTCAGTCATGCCCGTTCCCCCTCACGGGACCTGGCCCAGTGCCCTGCACACACAGCACACTCAAACACTGGCTGAACAAATAAATGCGTGAAGGATACGCATTCTGAATAAAAAAGATAAAAAAAGAAAAATAGGGGATTTCATGTAAAAGATAAAACTTTTTTTTTTTAATTAAACATACGGTTTCAGGTAATAAAGGCCTCTGGATAGCCTATAACGTATTCATTTTGTTCTTAGCCTATGTCTCTTTTTCCTTGGGTACAAGGTGAAACCAAATTATACACACCCATTCTTACTTCATTCAAGTCAAGATGGGGTTTGGAATTGTTACTTTAAACCCATTCCCAGAGTTCAAATTTTTTCCTCATCCCAAAGTTCATTTTGAACCAAGTATCCAAGGCAAGTTACAACTCCTAGGAAGATGGAATGCTCCGAGGTTCATTACCAACGTCCCCCACAGCCCTCCCACGGTCCCGTCCAAGTCTTCTTCCGGCAGATCACGTGAACAGTTCCTACCATACAGGAATATGAGCGCTTAACATCCCGTAGCCAATTCCCAGAGGAGGAACCCTCGTTTCAAGTGGGAGCTAGCCCTCTTTTGGCACAGTCCACCCACAAAAGCCATTTTCGGAAACTCAGGCATTGGACATCTCATCCTACGGACAAGAGAAAACCCTTCTTCCCTCCCCAGCAGACGCGTCCTGAGGGAACACATGTGTAAAAACACGAGCCACCAAAGAAGAAAACAACTAGATTCTTCACAGGCCATCACTAGAGAGCAAGTAAATGAAGGTGAGGAGACGCCTGATTCCTAATTCTGAAGATGAAACAACTCCCGAGAACCCAATCACGTGAAAGGAGGTCCCGCCACACCTGCCCTGGCGATCCTGCACCTCTCTGTGTCCACAGTGGTGAAGGGTTGTCTCCCACAGGCCCGGCTCCACTCGACGGCGACTCCTGTAGCGAACGCGTTCCTGTGGCTTCCCCGGCCCTGGGCACAGAAGCTCTGGCCCTGCCCCAGCTGGGCCCTGCCTGTGCGTTTCTAGCCACCAAGGGGACATCCCCCTGGCTGGCCCGCTTGTCCTCTCTGCCTCACCTTCGTCCCCAACTGCTTGTAGCCTCTCACACTGACATTCCTTCAGCTCTGCTATTTCTGTCAGATTTGAAATTCTTCTGATTTGGGGTGAGACCTTCCCTGCCCTTCATCCTCGATACCCAAGTCTTGTTTCACGATGTCTCTCCTCTTAGCAGTGTCCTCTTGTTGTCACTGCCACTATCATGGTCCAGCATGTCATGCCACGCCTGTCACTCTGGTGGCCTCCCACATGGCAGCGTGGGCCTCTCACACTCTTCTCCCCGCTGCCCCGTCCATCCTGCCAGCCACCGCCAACCCAACCTTCCCCCAGCGCTGCCTTCAGCATTTCCTCAAAACCCACAATGACTTCTCTGCTTTTATCAAGTGGTGATGCCTCTGCCTGGTTGCCAGCAGCCTCGACAACCCATCCTCTGAAAACCACTTTTGGTTTTCTGGTGCCCGCCCTTTGCTTTCCGATGAGCCACACTGCTCGCCCTCCTTCGCAAATATTGACCGAGCCAACGCTGGCCCTGGGACCTGTGCTTCCTGCTGTCCGTAGGCTCACGTGTTAGTCCGTCGTCAATTTTCCTCTGACTCAATCCTTACCTTCTTTGGTAACTCCATTATTTTGAAAGGATATGCGGAAAGAAAAATGGGGGGGAAAATAGTCCCTGCCCCAAAGAGCTTACCGTCTAACTGGGGAGATAAACAGTCGAGCAACTGACCACGACAACAAAGCAAAGTGCAGCGAGTGCCGAAACAGGGCCACAAGCAAAGTTTTCAGGCAGCAGAGGAACCACCGTTCACCGGCTTCGGGGACTGAGGAGGCCATGTTCCAAAGGTGGCAGAGGATCATGACAGGCAGAGAGAGGACAGGAATGACAGGCGCAAAGAAGAGTCATGGAGGAATGTGAGCAGAGCTGGTCACGGTCAGACCAGGTCTTGACCATGTGCCACACTCACTCCATCTCTGGGCCTTCACCCTCCTCCCAGCTAGAAGGCCCTCCTGCCCCCCATCACACCTCCCAAACTTCTCTCAGCTTTCAAAAATGAAGTTCAAATCCTACCTCCTCCATAGTGAGACAAAAGATTACATGTAATTATCCTTCCTGCGTTCAAGTAAAAATCCTATCACATAGAAATGGTACACTTGTCAAGTTTATATGTCCTCCCCCAACCCCTGTACCAACAAATTTTTCTGTAACTAGATACAGATTCCAACTGTTGGATCAGTAAGGTAGAATAATGACATAAGACAAAATAAGTCAGGCCCTGGGGCAGGCAGAATAATGGCCCCCAAAGAGGTCCACATCCTCACTCCCACCAGATCTGTGGATATGTTACTTCACACAGCACCAGGGGGTTTGCTGATGGGATTGAGGTTAAGGACCTCAAAATGGAAAGATTATCCAGGGTTGCTCAATCTAATCTCAGGATTTCTTAGAAGTAGAAAAGGCAGGCAGAGAAGTAGGGCAGAGAGATGTGACTTGAGGAGGATCTGACCCACTGTGGTTGGCTTTGAACATGGAAGCTATGAGTCAAGGGATGTGGGCAGCCTCTAGAAGCTGGGAACGGCCCCTAAGCTGACAGCCAGGGGGGATGTCAGGAACCTCATCCTACAACTGACAAAAACTGAGTTCTGCCAATTCTGCCAACGAGTCCAATGAGCAGGAAAGCGATTCTCCCCGAGGGCCCTGCGATAGAAACACAGCCCTACCAACACCTTGATTTTATTCCAGTGAGCCCAGCCATGTCTGACATACAGAACTGTAAGATAATAACCTTATGTTGTTTCAGGCCACTAAATTGCAGTAATTTACTATGCCAGCAATAGAAGACTAATACAAGCCCTATTGTTTTTTCTCCATGGGTGAAGGCCAAGATAATACTAAGAACACAGATTTCTCATAAATGTAGAAATTAGCCACTTATTTATAAAAACTCTATTGGAAGGGAAATTCTGTTTTATTTAAATAGTGATAAGCAGAGAAAATACTGTATAGTTTCAACTTTTCTCTATCACTAAGACATTGGCACAAAAAAGGGAAAAAACAATCATTCATGAGAACCACACTCTGGTCAGCACTGGTATCTCTTCCATAATTCTGATTACAAATAAGCACTGGTTCCACATTGATCAGCAGTCAATGTCATCTGTTTTGCCAGAGTAGCTTCCCTCCCAACCCCCCAACCAATTAGGATATTTTCTTAAATGTGTTCTATCATCTCTTTATATCCAGCCATCACAGTAATTAACAATGGGTAAGATACCATTATCATTCAATACACTGGTAAAAATACAGATTAACTTCTGCTCTGGTTCCCAAGTATAATAAATTTCATTTATTGAGCACCTACAAAGCCCACAATGCTGAGTACGAAGAGAGATGCAAAAACAAAGACGACACAATCCCTGTCCAAAGACCTTTTAAAATACTGACAGCGATAACACAGAGCAGAATAAAGTAAGTACTAAAAGAGATGAGAAGCAATGTGGTGTTGAAACCTCAAAGGAGGGTTGGGGACTTCAGTCCAGAAAGGAGTCTTCCAACAGAGTGGTGGGCTTCAAGCCAAACACCAAAGTTCTAAATTTAATGCAATAATTTTGAAGGATGCTATAAAATTGTTTATAGTTTTCAAACATTAACAAGTAGCATTTACCTAGCAACCATTCTGATTTATTTATTAAAGTAGGTTATCTACTAGGCAAAGCTTCAGTTGCCTGGCGTAAATCACATTATTTAAATTAGGGCTTACTTCACTAAAATATTCCGAAGTTCAGATTACCTGTCAACATAATAGACATGGATTACTAAGCTCTTATTCTACAAAAATCCATTCGGCCCATTACACAAAACATTTTTAAACTTATTCCACTTCACATGGTTCTGACACTGAATTCTGTCCCTGGCCGAAGTACCTAAGGAACGTCTGGGATTGCATCTAGAGATTCGGAGTGCATGTTTTGTTTTTACATCGTAAATATCTTGTTTCTCAAATTCTTTTACTTGATCAACATTTATTCCATACCTACTATGTACCCAAGGCAGAGCAAAGGTAGAAGATATTTATGTATGGTTGCAACAAATCAATCATTCAGCAAGTGCCTCCTAGGAGAATCAGTGCTTCGGAAGACTTAGTTAGAGCCTCTATTACCCTACGGGACTCCTAAAGAAGGTCCTCGTGGGGGGAAACTGAAGAGGATCACTACCAAACACTGCAGAGTCACAGGAGTAGAGAAATCTGTAAAGGTTCTTTCTTTTCCCCATCAGTGATGTGAAAAGATAGGGCATGTCATCAATCATGCTAGGAAGATCAAATTCCATGCTTCAAATCTTCACTAAAATTTTTTACTTCGCCAACTCTCCTGATTAGCACACTGTGATTTCTATAAATTCTGGCAGCAGAAATGAGGGACAGGCCAGGGGCTCTGTGTGGGTGGATTTAAAGACAGGAAGCATGTGTGGAATGGAGAAACAGAGGAAGGGAGTGTGAGGAACAGAAACCACTTAGGGTAAAGGCACAAAGGACACTCCTGAGTTTATGAAATCATGTGAAGAACTGTGTATGCCCCTTTCATCTAGTCAAGGATTTTAGGAATGAGGACAGCTTTGCATTAAGCAAGCAATGACTAAAGGAAGCCAGCAGATGTTCTGGTAGTCACAAAGCAAAGTTGGAGAAATGATTCCAGAAGCAGACCAGCAGTTTGTCTTCCCTGCTTTTATGGAATTGTCCTTGCTTCCTCCCCTCTGGAGGTTTTCTAAGAACAGAAGTTCACCCTGGAGTTCCAGAGGTTACATGCTGTACCGAGTTACCGCGGCATCTGGCAGGGAACAAACCCAAATACGGAGGCCAAAGAGAAGATATTTTTGCTGCCTAAAATCCCGTTCCTTCTCACAGACCGCTACGGTGTCAGGAAATAATCTTGGGAGAGTCGGGGTTTTTTAGTACATGGAGCTCACTTGATGAATTCAGCCTGCTGTCTCAGGGGAGAGTCAGGCCACAAGGAAACATCTGCCTATCCCCTCGGCAGTCACTTACACTCTCTACCAGATGTTCGCAGTCTAACCCAGTTACAAACAGAGACAGAAATTCTCTTTGACTCAGAGGTGGTTAATTTCACTCCCACAAATCTAACATCTTTGCCAAATGCATACCGGGATTGATCTCTGGTAGAGCCTCACGTCTCATCTCTTCAAGGGACACCAACGTGTTTCAATAACTAAAAATGATCACATGCAATTTTCACCAATAAACTTTCAAGTTGAAAAAAAAAAATAAAACCAGAAAGAAGAAGAAAATGAGAAGATTTCTTAACACAATCAAAATGGGAGTTCATTTTCCAACTTTTTTATTTTTTAAATATTTATTTATTTATTTATTTGGGAGAGAGCGATCACGAGAGAGAGAACATGAGGAGGGGCAGAGGGAAAGGGAGAGGGAAAAGCAGACTCCTTGCTGAGCAGGGAGCCAACACGGGACTTGGTCCCAGGACCCTGGGATCATGATCTGAGCTGAAGGTGACGCTTAACCGACTGAGCCACCCAGGTACCCCTCTTAATTTTTTTTTAGTAATTTCTTTTTTTTTCTTTTTTTAAAGATTTTATTTATTTGACAGAGAGAAACACAGCGAGAGAGGGAACACAAGCAGAGGGAGGGGGAGAGGGAGAAGCAGGCTTCCCGCCGAGCAGAGAGCCCGATGCGGGGCTCGATCCCAGGACCCTGGGATCATGACCTGAGCCAAAGGCAGACGCTTAACGACTGAGCCACCC